AAAGGAGGGGGGCAACTGTATCTTTGTGTGTAAGTATGCAGGGGGGGCGCAGGAGTATTTTAAGAATCAGCCAACTGGCAAAGATGACAGATGGTCACAGAGACTTCAGGTAGAGGCAAAAATAGGCCTGCTTTGAGACAGGACAAATCTCATGGATGCAGCCTCATCTCTGTGAAGATGAGACATGTGCATTCCCCCAGATGGCCTCCTAAAGAGGCACTTCCTGAGAGAGACAGAGACAGAGAGAGGGAGGGGGGGGATTCTCACCTAGAGAGACACAGAGAGAGACAGAGAGACAGAGAGAGAGACACACACAGACACAGAGACAAAGAGAAAAGAAAATTTTCCTATCAGGACATGGGGGTATCCTGTAACAATAACAATAACTAAAATTTTAATAGCACTTTAAGGTTTGAAAAGCAGTTTATGTATGGGAACCTGACTGATCCTCATAACAACCCTGTAAAGTAGGTCCTGTTATTAGCCCCATTTTACAGATGAGGAAACTGAGGCCAAAAGCAATTAGGTGACTGGTCCAGGGTCATACAGCTAGTATGTGTCTGTGGCAGGATTTGAACTCAGGTCTTCCTGATTCTCAGTCTTGCCTCCTAGTCACTTCTGCACCCCGCTGACTAGTGAAGGAATGCAGATATGTTTCAGACAGGTTACAAGAAAACCAGCTCAATGTGATAGAAATATGTGATTGGTAATTAACTATAATATATCATAATATAATAATACAACAATTCATTATAATATAATTATATATAATGCAATCTATTATATTATAATAATACTAATAAAAATAACTAACATTTACATAGGATTTTAAGGTTTGCAAAGCACTTCACAAATATTATTCCTTTGATCCCCACAACAACCCTAGGTGCTATTATTATTATTTCCATTTTACAGATGAGGAAACTGAGGCAGATAAAAGTTTAAGTGACTTGCCCAGGGTCACACTGCTAGTAAATGTCTGAATTTGAATTCGAGTCTTTCTGACTTCAGAGACTTAGTGTCCCATGACATCTGACAGTGATAAGCCCAAAGCATCCACGTAGCCAATGTTTCCCCTTCTTGTCTCCCCAGGAATCTGCAGAGAGGCTTCTTTTCAGCCATGATGTCTTATGAGTATAAAAACTCTTATCCCCTTTGAACGTTCTACCTGGACACAGGGCCAGATTCTCTTCTGGAGTGTGACCCGGATGCTCAAGGAACTGGGAGTATAATAGATTCATGGAATCACAGCATGTTTGACCTGGAAGGACCCTGAGAGATAAAGGGGAAACAAACCACTAATCCTAGTACCAAGTGCGAAGTTCCCTGTTGCAAATCAGGAGCCCTGGCTTTACTGCTTGTTGTTTTTTTGTTTGTGTGTTTGCTTGTTTTAGGCAATTGGGGTTAAGTGACTTGCCCAGGGTCACACAGCTAGTAAGTGTCAAATGTTTGGTCTGAGGCCGGATTTGAACTCAGGTCCTCCTGACTTCAGGGCCAGTGCTCTATCCACTGCAGCCACCTAGCTGACCCCCGGCTTTAGTTCTAACATCTATGCTCAAGGGTTGACCTAAGTGAGTTATTATATGGTAAGCGGTAAATTTAATATTCTTACGGTAAATTATAAAATGTCATTTATATAGAATCAAGAATCCAAATGACCAGGAAGCTCGTAATTCCCCAAAGACTAAAAGTCCTGCCTTTCCTTAAAACAATACCCATCCCCTGTATAATGTTATTAGAAAGAGCACCGGCTCTGGAGGACTGAGGGGTTAAAGTCCCATTGCTGAAGCCTACAATACCTGAGCGACCTTGGGAAAGTCACTTAACTTGCTGGGGCCTCAGTTTCCTCATCAGCAAAATGAGGGGTAAGGTGGGACTAAAGGCCCTCTAAGGTCCCTTCCAGCCACAGATCCAGGATATTTTGATAACTATGATCATTCTGAGGCCCCAAAGATTCCGTCGTGATTATATGTAGTCATTCAAAACTTGAAAATGGGCAATCCATGTGTGATCTCTAGGTTAACCAAGAGTCAACTAGAACATTCCATTTCCCATTCTGGATTAAGTTCTGGATTGTGGATATTCTGGATAAATGGGAGTGTGAGCTTCGGGGTAATCACAGTGTAGGTGGTGAGAACATAGGGAGCAAAGGCCAGAACATACTCAGGTCATGATCCCTGCTCTTCAGGGGCTGGCATTCAGGGTGGCATAGTGGGAGAGTGATGGATTGGTATTCAGGAAGACCTGAGGTCAAACGCTGTTTCTAAGACTCATTTGCTGTGTGATTCCTGGCAAGTCATTTAATCTCTCTAAGCCTCAGAAACCCTGTACTTGGATAAAACAAATCTCACTGCCAAGCTGTGGGTTTGCAGGTGAACTTCAGCTATGGGTCTTCTTTATATCCCCAAGGAGCTAATGGCAGCTGAAGCTGGAGTATCTGTGAGGACCTGGGCTAAGAACATAAGCCCTCTCCTCATCTGGAAAATGGGGATAATAACAGCTGGCACATTCTGTTTCACAATGTTGTTGTGAGAGTCAAATAAGATGATGTGGATAATGTGCCAGGCAGACCTTGAAGTACTACATAAACACAAGTTACTATTATTTTTGACCCAGAGACCACACCCTGATGTGTTTTATGGGACTAGTACTGGAACTTGTGGAGGGTGTAGGGAACAAGGGGAGGTTAAATGCTGTTTCCACTTCCAGCAGGGTATGAGCCCATTCCACTACCAATGGATAAACCATCCCACCTCTTTATTTCTCCAATCAATATGCAAACCATCCCACTACCTTCAGACTATACCCATGGGGTAAGCCATCCCACCTCTTCCTTACTGCTCCAAGTGAAATGTAAACCATCCCACTACCTTCAGACTATACCCATGGGGTGAGCCATCCCACCTCCTCCTTATAGCTCCAAGTGAAATGCAAACCATCCCACTACCTTCAAGACTACACCAATGGGTAAGCCATCCCACCTCCTCATTTCTCCAATTGAAGTGCAAACCATCCCACTTACCTTTGGTCTCTCTCTGAGCCCCATGGAGGGCCACGCCAAATGCATCCATGCATCCTCTGAACACTTGAGAAGAATAGCTCCCATTTCTATGGGGTTTTAAGGTTTGTGAAGTGCTTTCGGCACAAGCCTGAGAGGTAAGTAGTGCAAGTATTATTATTCCCCATTTCACAGATGAGGAAACTGAGGCTCAGAGAAGCTAATCGACTTGCCCATAGTCACACAGGTAGGAAGTATCAGAGGAGGGATTTGGACCCAGGTTCTCTGACTCCAAGTCCAGGGCTCAATCCACTAGACCACAGTGCCTCAGTTCTGTCTGAGAGTTCTCCACATCCATATGTATAGACCCTGAGCTCCATAAGCTCCCCCTCCCCATCTCTGCATCTTGACTCCCCTCACTACTCTCGAGGTGCAGCTCTCAAGAGCTACCTCCTAAAGGGGGCTCTCCTGCTTCCCACTGTTGCTGATGCCACCCCAATTTCTATGTGCTTAGCCATCTGTGTCTGTGTTATCCCCATACCTAGTAGAACAGAATCTCCTTGAGGGCAGGGGATATTTCATTTTAGCCTGACACTTAAGAAGTGCTTGGCCTTCCTGGGGCTCCTCACACAGAGAAATCTATCTCTTGTATCTATACCCTTTACTGTGGCCATCCCCTGTGCCTTGGGCAGCTCCTCCTCACCTCTGCTTCCTAGAATGCCTTACATCCCTCAAGACCCAGCTCGAACACTATCTTCCCCATAATAAACCTTCATAGCCTTCTCTCATCTTTCTGCAAGATCATATCAACCCTGAAACTCATACCTCCTCAGTAGCCCCTGCCGTTAAGTTAGGGTTAGGGTTAGGCTTTCTCCCTCTGATTAGAGAGGGTAGAGAGCTCTTCCTAGATCTTCCATTTAAGGAGAGTGCTCAGCCATCTCCTGATTCCCCACCGAGCTACACTCCTAGACTTCATGCTTCATCCCCCTGAATACCTTGACCCTCAGATACTTTTCATGTGTTGTCTTCCCCCATTAGATTGTAAGCTCCTTGAGGGAAAGGGCTGTCTTTGCATACCCAGCACTTAGCACAGTGCCTGGAATATAGTAGGCACTTAATAAATGTTTATTGGCTGACTGGCTGATCCCCCTCAGCTGCTAGTGCTTTCCCCTTATTAAACTATCTTCTGTTAACTACCTTATATATGTAGATGCTTTCTCCCTCAATAGAATGTCGGCTTCCTGAAATGGCAAGGACCACTTCTTTTTCTTTTCTTTCTTTTTTTTTTTTTGGTCTTTGTATATATTTGGCATTTAGCACATGGCCTTGCATAAAGTAGGTTCTTATGAAATGCTTATTGATTGATTATTGAATTGAATGAGGGCAGGAACTGTACCTTATCCAAACTCTCAATCTCCCCCATTCATTAGCACAGAGCTGTGTACACAGCAGATGCTTAATAAAGATTTATTGAATTGTCTGCTGGGCAGTTCAGCAGTTTGTGATTTCCTGGTGAGAACAGTATGTCCAGTGGGGCACTGATTCCTTTACCTGGCCCCTTCTCACTCAGTCTCATAGATCCAGCCCACCTCCAGCTGGGATGTCTAGCAAGAGGGGCAGGAGGAGACACAATTGATCACGTATTAGGAAGTGTGCCAGGGGATGATGAAGGTTAGGCCACTGGGGGCATCTATTGGGGAACCCCAAACCCAAGACCCTGCTAATGGAGAGAACATGCGATAGAGTGGAAAAAACGTTAGATCTATAGTCCAAAGACCTGCGTTCAAATCCTGTCCCTGATGCTTCCTACCTGTGTGACCGCAGGCAAATCACTTCCCCTCCCTGGGCCTCGGTGTCCTCATCTGTAAAATGGGGACTTTGGACTAGCTATCCTCTGAGGTCCCTTCGTCTAAACTCACGATCCTCTGCGGAGGAGAGAGCTCCCCTATGGCCTGGCTCTTCCCCCAAGCTGAAGAAAAAGAGGCATGCTATACTCACTTACCGTACTGGACTTAAGCTCATTCCCATTTTCCTCATCAGATTCTAGTGCAACAGGTAAGGATTTCTGGGGTGGGGAGAAGGTTAAGTCCCATCGCAGCAGCCGGGGCTCGGCTTTGTCCCCGAGCCGTAGGTTTTCCAGTTTTTGCACTGCGGGTTCAGCAGAAGGCGACGGCCTGAAATTCTCTTTGTTCTGGGCCTTGGACCTCAGTCTCTGCACCCCGAAGGCCCGGTCGTCCGAGCGGTGATCGTCCACCGAGCTCCGGCAGGCCCCGGCTTTGCTGTAGTGTCTTTTCTGGGTGTGCGCCTCTTGCATATAAGAGTCCATCCTCATGAGGGGCTTCATCTCCATCTCGTAGTTGCTTAGCTTCTCATCCAACTCCAGCAGCTTGGGATTCCCTGAGCCGTGGCTGTTGGACGGGTGGTGCGAAGTCCACGAGAACGGAGTGGGGGAGTCCGCCCACCTCTCCCGCGGCTTAGGGTTCCCTGACGACGACGCGTGCTTGTGCCCCGAGCTGCGGCCGCGGTAGTCAGCCCCTGGCTGGCAGCTCCGCAGGGCACCACTCCGCACCCCTCTCGACCCCGCTACCTTCTCCTCGCTCCAGCTGTTGGGTCTTAGGTAGTCCCCACCCCGGCCCTCCAGCAACATCTGGATCTCCCCACCTCGCTCTTCATCCACAGAGATCTGCCGGGAGAAGTGGGCGCTCTTGTTTCGGGAGGTTGGAACTGGTGGTGGCGTGATGGAGGGGCTGGCAGGGAAGCTCTGGAGGGGGCTGTCATCAGGGGTGAGGTCGGAAGGGGTTGTGCCTTTCCGGTACAGCTCAGGGCTCTCCTGTTGCAATGGGGTCCCTGTGGAGATCACCTCGATGTCGTCGCTGGAATTCTGACGCTTTGGCCTCTGGCATTCAAGTCCTTTATAGAGGAAGATAGGAAGAAGAAACACAAGGTTGAGGTCACCCAGAGAAGAGGGGGTGGTCCTAAGTGGGTAATATTGTCTTAGGAGGACTCAGAGGGAGCTACCCAGACCCTGCCAGGACAAGATTTTACTGACAACCTACTGGCTATTAAAAGCCCATATTAAAAGCCCCAACATCATATGATGACCTTGTTTCCTGCTCATCTCACTATGCAGGGGCCTCTTGCCTGACCTCCAAACAATGGTGAAATTATCAGTAACATCCACAGTCATGGTTCACCCTTTCTGACCCCATCATTTATTAACAGAAAAGGAGAAAGAAAGAAAGAAAGAAAGAAAGAAAGAAAGAAAGAAAGAAAGAAAGAAAGAAAGAAAGAAAGAAAGAAAGAAAGAAAGAAAGAAAGAAAGAAAGAAAGAAAGAAAGAAAGAAAGAAAGAAAGAAAGAAGAGATAAAAATAGTTAAAACTGGTATGACATCTTTTAGTTTTTCAAAGTACTTACTCATTTGCCATATTCATTTGACCCTTCCATTAATGCTGTGAGGGAGGCCAGGTATTATCGTGCCCATTTCACAGATAAGGAAATTGAGGTGCAAAGTGATATAATAGGAGTGAGTGCTGGATTTATAGTCAGAGGATGTGGGTTTAATCTTGGCTCTGATATTTGTTTCCTATGTGACCTTGGACAAGTGATTTAATCTCTCCAGCCTCTAGCTTCCTCATCTGCAAAGTGATGGGATGGGACCATGACCACCTAGATCTTGTCTAACTCAAAATCTATTAAGTTACATGAATTGGCCAAGATGACACAGCTAGTTAGTCACAATACAAAGCCTAGAATCTGCATCTCCAGGGAACTCCTCTCAAGACTGCAAGATTTCCTTGCCTCTGGTGCATGCATGGGAGCTGAATTTTAGAACTGGTCCATGCTTTAGCCAACTTACCTGCAATTTCCTTTTGCCCTGAGTCACTCCTGGGGAGGGGTGTATGGGGGGTAGGAAGGATGAGCATGAATAATGTAGAAATGGGTCATCAAGCTTGGATGGATAGATTGGAGTAAGCCTGAAAAGAGTCTTAGAAGGATGGTGGGGCCCAAGCTGAACATGAGTCAGTGATGCAGGATTGTCACTAATAAAGTAGGGGGTGTAGACCTAAATGGACAGTTTCTATAACCACTCATTGACTTAGCATGGTCAGATCCTTTCTAGAGGACTCCTCAATTCTGGGCTTCAAAACTTGGGGGGATACAGAGGAAAACAATGAAGGAGACAAAGAAATGGTGGACGGTTCTCCGAGTAAAGATGAAAGAAGTAGGGTTATTTGTCCTAGAAAAGGAAAAGTTAGGAGATGATTACAGCATTAAGAATGGTAAGGAGTATTAGGCCTACTCAGGCAGGATAGAAGGAGAGGAGGGCAAATTGCAGGATGTTCAGTTGTTTCATTTGTGTCCGACTCTCTGTGACCCCATTTGGAGTTTTCTTGGCAAAGATACTGAAGTAGTTTGCCATTTCCTACTCTAGCTCATTTTATAGATGAGGAAACTGAGGCAAACAGGATTAAGTGACTTGCCCAGGGTCACACAACTAGCATGGGTCTGAGGTCAAATTTAAACTCAGATCCTCCTGACTCCACTCTATCCACTGAGCCACCTAGTTGCCCCCATGAGGGGCTTAGGTTAGACAAAAAAATTTCCCAACCTGGGGAGTTGCTAAACATTGTATTGTATATAAGGGTTATTACAAGAGAAAGTAGACTCATTCTCCCACAAAACTGTCACAGTTTTCCCTTCTCTGGGCTTCAGCTTCCTCTTCTGTAAAATAAGCAGTTTGAACAACCTAACCTCAAAGCCTCCTCCTGTTCTAACATTCTACCAATCTGTAAATCTCTGTGATCTCCAGTGGCCCTGCTAGGAAAAGGGTAGACTCATGACAGAGGATGTATCCTCTGTGTGTGTGTGTGTGTGTGTGTGTGTGTGTGTGTGTGTGTCCCCTTAGCACTTAGCGCAATGCCTGGCACATAGTAGGCCCTTAATAAATATTTATTGACTGACATCAGTATTCCTACATAACATATCCTTGAGAGCAGGGACACACTCTCTCTCCATACATATGTGTGTGTGTATGTATGTATATATGTGTATCCTTAGCATTTAGCACAATGCCTGGCACACAGTAGGCTCTTAATAAATATTTATTGACTAACATGTCAGTATTCCTAGATAACATATTCTTGAGAGCAAGGACTTTCTATCTCTCTCTCCATATGTATGTATGTATGTATGTATGTGTGTGTGCATGTATAAACACAAACATATATATTTGTGTGTGCATGTGTGCGTGCGTGTGTGTGTGTGTGTGTGTGTGTGTGTGTGTGTGTGTGTGTGTGTGTACCCTTAGCACTTAGCACAATGCCTGGCACACAGTAGGCTCTTAATAAATGTTTATCGATTAACTGACAAATCAGTGTTTCAGCTCACAGGGCCAGAGGATTGACGGTTGAAAGGCAACTTAAAGATTCCTGAGACGGGGAAGTGGAGGCCAAGAGAAGGGGAGTGATTTGCCCAAGGCCATGCAGACAGCAGCAGGCCACAGAGCTGGGATACAATCTGGGCTCTGATTCCAGAAGTCCATTGCTCCCTGGTCATACGGGTCCTCTCCAGCCGCCTTTTGCCAATGTGCCCCTCCTCCTGCCTCCCACTGCTTGTTGACTGCTAAATGGATTGAACCAGGTTTGCAAAGTGAATGAAGGAAGCAGTGGGGCATTCTAATAGGTGCCCTGGAGGCTGGTCCCGTCCACAGCCTGTCTTGTCCTTCTTGTCCACCCCACCACCAAACAGCTACGCCCATCGGCTTGCCTTGTGTGATCCTCTGTGCCCTTACTCCATCCATCCTGTGGCCACAAGGGACCCCAGAGACACCTGCCAGTTCCCAGCTGTACCCCTCTAGCTCCCTGCTCTCCTCCAAGGCCCCTCCTATGCCTAGTCAGGCCTTCACTCCGGCATCACAGGGATGTTTCAATCCACACACACCAGCCGAGCCATTCACCTCACCCCAGCCCAGTGCCAGGTGTATGCTGCCACTTCTCCATTGCTGTCCTCCTGGTCACAAGTGGGATGGACCCTCACCAAATTTTAGGAGGCAGGAGAGGAAGGGGCCTTTGTCTTTTAACCTGCTGCTTGGCCCTGGCATGTCACAGGTGGCACAGGGTCATTCTACCAATGCCCCTCTGGGTGGCACCCTCATGCTTCTGGGCCCAAGAAGTCCTGGAGCTGGAGGCCTAGAGCCTGGTGAGAGCTCCCAAGGGAGGACACTGGTAATGGCACCTGGAGAGGGCACTCGTGAGGCCACTGGCAGGGGGTGCTGGTGGCAGCCCTGTGCCATACTGCTCATCTTCACAAGCCTGCCTTTGAGCAGCTCACCCAGCTGGGAAATGATCTTTGGCTAAAATTAGTTCCTGAGCATGTGATATTCCTGGAAGAATCATTGTTAAAATGCAAAACAGTACATGCAGCTTTACGCTTTGATTCCAATGTCTTTGTTCCTCTTACTCTTTTCCTGGGACTTCTAAGGCCCCAGAGCTAGCCAGCCCCAAGTCCTCCCTGCCTGCCTCCTACTCCCACAGGCCAAACACCTCATTCAAGGTCTGAAGGGATTGGGGGGAGAATAAAACACTCTGTGGGAATTGTAAGCAATTTAGCCTCCATCCTGGCTCCCAATATATGCAGAAATTAAAAGATGGAGGATTCCTTCATAGCAGGGTCACTGAACTATAGGGACCCTGTTCACTCAGAACCCTCAACACTTATGCAAAATGGGCTGGGGCTCCTAGCAAACACAAAAGACCCATATTTAGTTGTCAGGACGGTTCATGGAGTCACAGGTGCCTATGTTTTCCCACCACTGTCCTGGCTGCTGGGCATTGTCCCATCCTGCCCGAGTCTGTCCAGGGCTATTCTGGCCCAAGGCCCACACTATGGTGAAGTCACCATCACCAACCAAAGACCTCAACATCAGGTCTCGGTTTGGGAATGCTGGCCTTGTAAAGGCTTCTAAAGAGAAACCAAAAAGACACTGATGGTGGAAAGACCAAGGAAAGAACAAATTAAACATAATATAATGATGCATCATCTAAAACATCACTTCAGGAGCAGATTGAGAATTGGAAAGGTCTCTGAGCAGAAGATGCTCTACGGGTGAGGGCCTGAGGATTTGTGAAAGTTGTAAGGAAGAGGTGAGCTTGGGATTATATGAGAGAAAGAAAGAAAGAAAGAAAGAAAGAAAGAAAGAAAGAAAGAAAGAAAGAAAGAAAGAAAGAAAGAAAGAAAGAAAGAAAGAAAGAAAGAAAGGGAAGGAAGGAAGGAAGGAAAGGAAGGAAGGAAGGAAGGAAGGAAGGAAGGAAGGAAGAAGGAAGGAAGGAAGAAAGAAAGAAAGAAAGAAAGAAAGAAAGAAAGAAAGAAAGAAAGAAAGAAAGAAAGAAAGAAAGAAAGAAAGAAAGAGAGAGAGAAAGAAAGAAAGAAAGAAAGAAAGAAAGAAAGAAAGAGAAAGAAAGAAAGAGGAAGAGAGAAAGAGAGAGGGGGAGGGAGGGAGGAAGAGAGAAAGAGAGAGAGAGAAAGAAAGAAAGAGAGAGAGAGAGAGAGAGAGAGAGAGAGAGAGAGAGAGGGAGGAAGGAAGGAAGGAAGGAAGGAAGGAAGGAAGGAAGGAAGGAAGGAAGGAAGGAAGGAAGGAAAGAAGGAAGGAAGGAAGGAAGGAAAGAAGGAAGGAAGAAAGAAGGAAGGAAAGAGAAAGGAAGAGAGGGAAGGATGGAGAAAGGAAGAAAGAAAAGAAAAGATAATCATTAAAATAAGTAAAGATACACAAAGGTAAACAAGTTCAGAAAGAGGATACAAAGAAACAGGATTCACTCAGTTACTACTTATTAAATTTAATGTATCCTCTTCAAAAACAAAAAGTATATAAAAGGAGTGGATGGTTTTCTCTGTGGTTCTCTTTTTTCTTTATGTATTTAAAGGTCTTTGTTTAATGACTGTCAAATTCATCATAAAAGAATGAAGAAGAGAAAGCCTGGGGGGGGTGGAGGGAGAGCAGTGCAATGGTTTTTTTTGGGGGGGGGTGAGGCAATTGGGGTTGAGTGACTTGCCCAGGATCACACAGTTAGTGAGTGTTATATGTCTGGGGTAGGATTTGAACTGGGGTCCTCCTGACTTCAGGGCCAGTGCTCTATCCACTGCACCACCTAGCTGCCCCTAGGCAGGTGGTCTCTTGAGGAGCCCAGGTGCTTAGCTGTGTCCGGGGGCTGTATTTCTGAAAGCCCAAGGCCTTCCCAGTACAAAGAGGAGGGAGGCTAAAGGGTTATAGCTTTTATGAACAAGGAGAAAGACTCTCAGGAAAGGGAAACACTGTATGAAAATAGTAGATATAGAATTAATCTTGGAGTCAGGAGAGTTCTGGGTTCAAGTCTTGCTAATGACACACCCACGTGACCGGTCCAGAATACATCAAGCCAACAAGCCTTTATTAAGAAGGGTTAAATCATTTAATGTCTTAGGGCCCCACCCACAATTTTAGGACAGTGGGTTAGTCTCTAAAACCACGCATTACAAATCTTCATTAGGTAGACGAAAAGTCATAGACAGATCTGGGTGGAAAGGTCCTCAGACGTGCTCTGGTTCAACCCCCTCCTTTTTGATGAGAACACTGAAGCCCAAGGAGGTGATGTGACTTGTCATTGTCAGAGGTGGAATTTGAACCCAGATCCTTTGACTCCAATACCATTGTTCCTCCTGCTGTATGGTGCTGCCTCCCTCTCCAAGCAGCTGTTGCCCTACACTGCTGAGATCAAAGAAGGGAGGCCGAGGCACCTCCTCCCAACCAGGAAGCTCAGACCGTGAGTGGGGAGAAGTGTCTACGTGTGTGTTCATGCACACATATACAAAAACGCACGATGTGGGGGGTGGGCGTCAATGCAATGCTAATGATGCAGGTAGGTGAACACCAGACACTTCTCTGGGCTGCTCACTCCCAACCCAGGAATTAAGAATGCCAGCAGAAGGTGTTGACAGACGGGATCTGACAGACCCACCATTCTATTTAGTTCCACAAGAAGCTTCTGCAACGTACGAGGAAAGGAGGAGCCAGCTGGGATGAGGACAACATATAGCTTTATGCACACACCCCCCACACACATGCATGCACACGTATACACATACACACAAACATGCACACATATAAACACAGGCACATGCACACACATGCAAATACTACACACATACAAATAAACACAAAATATACATACGGGTATACACAATGCGCACAAATATCCACGCATACACACAAACATGTACACTCACAACACACACAAACATATATGTGCAATACAACAATGCACACACAGTTTCTACATGCACTCATACACAGTGCACACATATACACACAATACACATATGCATGCACACATATATACAAACATACACGTGCACACATTCACATATAAAACCACATATATTAACACAATACACATGCACACACATGCACACAACAAACACTGCACATGTACACATGTACAGACATGCTCACATACATCTGCATATCCAAACACATACATGTGCACACATATTTACACAAATACATTTGCACACCAAAGCATATGCACTAAGGTAGGAGAGGGAGAGAGGGTCTAAGAGCAGACCACAGAAGCTGGGATTAGCAGAACCTGGTGCCATGGGTGATGACGAGGATGTACTGCCCGGCCACTGCTTTGGTAATTTCTCAGATGGCCCTTTGCCCCACTGGCCTCCTGCCCCCAATGACCGCCCCAGATCCCGACCAACTCACCATTTTCCCTGTGCTGGAAGGAAGGCGAGAAGTCTTTGGCAGTGATCCTGGCCATCCGGGCTTCTTCTTGAGCTTTCTGAGCCGCAGTGAGGGCTGCCTCTGCCTTGGCCCGGGAGTGGGAGGTCCTGCACAAGTGAGAGAGACAGGGGAAATGGGTGAGGCATGTTCCAGAGCTACAGAAGGAGAAAGGACCTCATGGGCCATCCAATCTAGCCTCTGGCTGAGCACGGATTCCCTGTAGGATAACCAGAGAAGTGGGGGTCACTCAGTGAGGGATCCCCCTGCCTCAGGAGGTGGCCTGTTCCACTCTGGGGCAACTTTTTCCCAACATGGAGCATCCACCCACTGCCCAACGTGAACAAAGAAAACAGAATCATAGAGTTAGAGCAGAGTCACTGAGTCCAGCTCATCATTGTATAGACTGGGAAACTGAGGCTCAGAAAGTTGAAGTGACTAGCCCAGGGTCACACAGCTGGTCAGTGTCAGAAGCAGAATCTGAACCGAGGTCCCTGATTCTGAGCCCTGCACTCTATCCACTACACTACACCGCACCCCCCCCCCCATAATGATCATAGCTAATTAACATTGATCTCAAGTATTAGTATTTGCAAAGTGCTTTACAAAAAAAAAATATTATAGATGGAGAACTGGAAGGGACTGAGGGGCCTCTGGTCCAACCCTGACATACCACAGAGGAGGAGGCTGAGGCACAGAGGGTAAGGGGCTTGCAAGAGGTACCACAGGTAGTAAATGTCCAATGCCACTTCTCTGCCCCTCAGCATGTCCATGAATGGGATGGACGTGACCGTGGAGCCCAGAGAGAAGAAGCAGCTGCTGCTGGTGGCCCTGGCACCCGTCGCAGGAGGGGCAGGGAGTGATATGCTCCAAGAAGAGGATGTAAGCTCTCTCTTCTTGTAAAGAGGCCAGAAGTGAGAACAAAGTCTGCAGGTCAGGACAGACTCCCTGCCAGGACAGCACTGTCTCCCTCCCCAGGGTCTTACTGAGGGATGTTCCCAAGAAGGAACTTCTGAGAACCGAGGGACCCTCAAATCATAGATTCCAAGCTAGAAGGGAGCTAAGCTCAGCCTCTTAATCAGTCAACAAGCATTCATTAAGCACCTACTGTGTGCCAGGCACTTATGCTAAGTGCTAGCAAAGAAAGGTGTAAATATGGTTCCTGACCCAAAGGGCCTCACATTCTAATGGGAGGAGACAACATGCTGATAACCAGACACATACTATCTATCGATTTGTCTGCCCACCTATCTATCCATCCATCCATCCATCCATCTAATCATCTATAAATCTATTATTCATCTATTTATCATCCATCAATCTATCATCATCTATCAATCCACTCATCATTCATCTATCTTTATTATCCATCCCTCTATCTATGCACACGTGTATGTAATATATTCCATGGTGTGTGGATATGTATATATTTGTGTCTGTATATGTATGTGTTTACACTATGGCATATATATTATATATGTACATACATACACATCAGGGTATATATTATATATACATACACTATGATATAATATACGGTATCCTGATATGCAAAATATATATAGCATATATGTGGTATGTGCTATAGACAGATATGTATATTCTATATATAATCACATATCATATATACCCTAGCATATCATATATACTATATGGTGTATGTTACACATACACCATATAGTATATATTGTATATATATCATATATTATACATGAGAGAGATATAGTATTATACATACCATATAATTGCTATATAATATGTACACCACATAATATATATGAGATATATATATATAGTATATGGGACATAGTGTTATATAATTTCCATATATCATATATGGTATACATTACATGCTTACCACATATACTGTTTATTATATAGATTATACACCATATATATTATACACACACACATACCCACACCCACACATGTATATACACACACCTATATCCACACACCCACAGCCACATACATAACACTCTCTCTCTCTCTCTCTCTCTCTCTCTCTCTCTCTCTCTCTCTCTCTCTCTCTCACACACACACACACACACACACACATACTGTGCAAATGGAAGTTAATTTCATAGGAGAAGGCAGTATTTGACGTGAGTCTTGAAGCAAGCCAGCAGGCAGAGGAGAGGAGGGAAAGCATTCCCTAAATTCAATCTTCATTGAGCACAGCCTCTTAGACGTAAGGAACATAGAATTGCCATCTGACCTGATGGGTGGGGTGGGACAGATCTCTTCAGGGGTTCTAATAGTGAGTGAGGTATATGAAATGATGCCACCACCACTACCACCACCATCCTTACCAACATGCCAAGGTTGCTGTGAGGATAAAAGGAGCTGATATACTTTCCAATATTCTCTTACATTATACTAACTCTGCGTGAAACCTTTGCAGCAGCCTGTCTGGTCTAATTACCATCCCCCAAACACACAAGAAATATTCCTACTTCTGTAGCATTGCTGATGTAAGTCCTCTGCATCCCCCATCTCTATCCCCTCTACTTCCTTCTCTTGTGTTCTAGTCCCACCTATTTTTCAAGGCCTGTGCTTAATAAAAATAAGAATGATAGCCAGCATTTATAGAATGCTTTAAGGTTTGCAAAGGGCTTTACCAAAAAAAAAATCATTTTAACCCAGCAACAACCACAGGGGGCAGGTACTATTACAATCACCATTTTGCAGGAAACTGAGTTTGACAGAAGTTAAGTGACTTGCCCAGGGTCACACAACTAGTAAAATGTCTGAGGTCACATTTGAACTCAGGTCTTTGCTGCTCCGGGTCTAGTGCTCTATCCACTTCATTACCTGGCTACCTCAAGTAAGTACTTCCTCCATGAAGTGATCCAGGAAAGGCCTAACCATTCTAGCCTACTTGTGAGTTTTCTTTCCTCTAATTTAGAATGTCAGAGCTGGGAGGGCCCTTAGAACACAGAACGTCAGAGCTGGGAAGGTCCAAACAAGACAGACAATTAGAGCTGGAAAGGAACTCAAAAGCCATACAGTTCAAATTCTAGAAGCTACCCAATGAACTGCTATTATAGGCAGGCCTAGAATCAAAGTGTCAAACATGGAAGCATGAAACTCACTTTTTAAAAAAATAGAGCTTCCATTTTCCCTCAGATAGTCCTACAACATGCAACTTGCCCCCCCCCAAAAAAAACCAAACAAAGCAAATGGATCCTAGTAAAAGGTTTATGGATGCACACTCACATGTGCTTATTGGCACCCGGCCCCTGACTCATGTACCAATCCTGGCACTCCCTGCCTTACATATGTCTGTTCTACTCCCTCTGCAACAACTTGGAAGAACTCTGCCTCTTTGCCATTGAGTTAAAGAAATCCAAACACTTCCCAACATGGGCTTCCATTTCTTATTAGGAAACCTGCTGGGAATAACAACAAAAAGGCCCTCCCCTGTTGTCCTGCTTTTTCTGAGTTTCCTGTAATTTTGCCCGAATAAGGAGAGGGAGGGCTGGCCAAGCAGCAGCATGCTCAGCGGGGTTGGTTCCCAGGAGGGCCCCAGCCAGGCCAGACAGATCTATTCCCTTCATTCCATGGGTGGCTGCGGGCATGGCACCCAAAGCCCGGGGCAGGATCTCCCTCTCTGACTTCTGTCCCAGAAAGCCTAGGACCGGAACCACCACATTTGGAGCACCCCTACCTGGGGAGCATGGGAGCCCCAGCTTCCAGGCTCCCTGACCCTTGGTTACTCACACTTATGGGTGCTGTGGCTACTTCTGAGGCCTCACTAGGACAAAACCTCTACCAATCACTTAGATCAAGCCTAACCATTAGTCTATCAGTCAGCAAGCATTTATTAAGTGTTTACTATGTACCCTAAGTGCTGGGGATCTAAAGAAAGGCAAAAAACTGTCCCTACCTTCAAGAAACTCAGAGGGCAGACAACATGAAAACAACTCTCTGTACAAACAAGATACGGACAGGCTAAACTGGAGATAACTAGTACATGTATGTTATACACAGAATAAATTAAAGACTATTTGAAGGAGGTGAAGCTCTAGTAGCTGCGGGGGATGCATTTAGGGAGGGGGGAAGACCAGGAAAGGTTCTTGTAGAAGGTGAGATTTACGCTAAGTCTTGAAGGAAACCAGAGAAATTAAGATGAGCTAGAGATGGGCAGCCCAGGCATGGGGGTAGCCAATGCAAAGGCTGGGGTTTGAGGAACTAAAAGTAGGTCAGTGTGGCTGAATTGCAGAGATCATGGAGGGGAGTGAAGTATCAGAAGACTGGAAGGGTAGGCAGGGAGCAGGTTGCAAAGGGATTAAATGCCAAACATAAGACTCTCTTTGGATCAGAGATCCACTCGGGGCAATAGCAGGACTTCATACAGGAAGGAGTGATCTTTCCTGCTCCCTTGTCCCCAAATGGTTCTAGCCATGTTATCTTGCGCCATCTTGGGTACAGAGCTTCCTTATCAAAGCCAAATGAAAGGAAGCCATTTCCCCCACTTTAGTTCTTGTTCCCTCCTTTCCACCTCTCTTCTGCCTCCCTTGCCCAGCACCAGGATTTTCTTGCCACCCTGCTCCCCTATTTCCCGTTTCAAAGGAATGTGACTTGATAAGGGAGGCAGAATAGTGGAGTTGGAAGTCACAGGTTTTACACTTGACATTGTCTCTGAGTAGCCATGAGATCTTGGGCAAATAACTCCTTTGGTCCTCTATGGACCTGAATTTCCTCATCTGTGAAACTAAAGACTTAGGTGGTATGGAGGTAGGTAGCATCAAGCCCATTGTCTGCTCCATCTTCCTCGTGATGAAGAAAAATGATTAAGCACACACACACACCCCACACACAAATCCAATACAGAAACTTTGTTCAATAAGGCACATCCACCATTTCTGTCTTAGTAGTCTCCCACCTCTCTGCTATGATGGGGCAGGTGTGTTTCATCAGCTCTTTCCTAGGACCTTCGCTGGGTTTCCATTCCCTAAAGCTCTCTCATTTACATTGTTGTAGTCATGGTACACAATGTTCTCTGGGTTCAATCTACCTTGTTTCACCTCATTTCATGGAGATCCTCTAACATTTCTCTGAATTCCTCATATTTGTCATTTTTTGCTCCCCAATTATATTCCACTGC